AAAGTGAGAGTTTCGGATTCGAGGAGGATGAGGTAGACCTCGAGTACGAACAACTGAAGGAATTGGAGGCCGAGCAAGGCATTGAAGAGGATGATTACGAGATCCTCAAAGGACAATTTATCAATCTTCAGGATGGCGTTTGTGGCTGCAAAATCTCGTGCTCCGAGACTTCTGCTATCGAAAACCTGAAGCAGAAGGATCTGTGGAAGGTGAGAGAAGAGGCTCGGGGGGCAATTTATGATGTCCTCCGAAAACAATTGAAGACCAAGATGACAGAGAGTCTTCGGCAACAGGTTTTGCTCTATTCGAAGAATTGTGAGAACCTCCTCATTGGAAAATGGGAACGGGATTACCACGTTCTTCGGACGGCGAAAGTGATCGGGATGACAGCCACGGGTCTGAGTAAATACCGGGGGCTGATCTCCAGCCTCAGACCGAAGATCGTCTTGATCGAAGAAGCCGCCGAGGCTATTGAGGCGCCAATTGTTGCTGCGTGCTTTGACTCACTCCAGCACATGATACTTGTGGGTGACCACCAGCAGCTCCGAGGGCACTGCACTGTTCAGGAGCTCGGGGGCGAGCCCTACAATCTGGGAGTCTCTATGTTTGAGCGACTGGTCAAGAACGGAATGAAGTACGTCATGCTGAACAGGCAAAGAAGAATGGCACCGGAGATCCGTCAACTCTTGGAGCCTATATACGGCGAACTGAATGATCATGAGTCAGTACGCAAACGACCTGGAGTGAGAGGAATGGGGATCATTCGCTCCTACTTTTTCACTCATATTTGGCCAGAGAGCAGAGATAGTCTTGCGTCCAAATACAACGACATGGAGGCCCAGATGATCGCAGAATTTGTTGTCTACCTGGTACAGAATGGCAACACTGTGAAAGATATAACCATTCTGACCTTCTACAATGGCCAGAGGAAAAAGCTCTTGACCGTTTTGAGACACCATCCGTACCTTCAAGGCCAGTACTTGAAGGTGGTAACTGTTGACTCATACCAGGGAGAAGAAAACGAGATCGTAATCCTTTCACTCGTTCGGAGCGGCGAGAATGACATTGGATTCCTGTCGATTGCAAATAGGATCTGTGTTGCACTGTCGCGTGCAAGACGCGGGTTTTATATGTTCGGCAACGCGAATTCTTTGGCAAAACAGAATCAACTCTGGCGGGATGTACTGACATTGATGGCCAACAACAAACCACCACGGCGTCTGGGAACACAGCTGCCCGTCACATGTGTGAAACACAAGCGGACAACTTTTATACAAGGTTTGGGAAATCCTTAATTGAGATCATGGTGCATTTTGAATGTTTAGCTGACACCTGACACCCAGGTCTTTCCGACTGGAACAAGATAAACGGCGGATGTGATTGCCATTGTGATGGAACGTTGGATTGCGGCCATCCCTGCCCCATCAAATGCCACAGGTAGGCGCAATAACTCTACAGTAGTCTAAAGGAGCGGGATGAAGCTAACATAGTCGCAACAACACAGCTTTTCTCATGAACAGGTAGGGTGCAATGACATCTGCAACAAACGGATGGCTTGCAAGCACGTATGCAGTAAACCCTGTGTAATAAGCCATATCTGCAGGTGCACATGCGAGGTCGCTTCACAAGTTGATAATTTACGTCTCCATCATGAGTCCCAGGGCTCCACCGCCCCGTTGGAGGGACCGAGTTCCTATCCCGAAGCGGTCAGACATTACCAGGCGTTTGCAAGTGGAGGTGTGAAGGAGCACGACGCGCTTTTGCTGAAGAAGGCTACCGAGACCGCCGCGGCAGCGCGGCCCACACCAGGAACAGAGGAGGATGAAGATCTTCTTCTCTCCGAGACGGAAGTGGCAAGCAGCCCTCAGGAACGCGACACCACGGTTCCCTTGTCGGAAGAAAATCTCATGGAGATCTGACGGCCCACTGGAAGGGAATCCGAGGGTATGGGCTGGAAAAACTTAAGAGTTTCATGGGCCCCAGCACCAAAAATAAGTAGATAGGGCTGCTACGTGGTGTGTGATATTTTAGTTTTCTTAGTCAATCAAGGAAGTCGGCGATGATGTCAAGGCTTGCTCCCGTATTCTGATTGGCCCGGAGGCTCTGGCGATAGTTCCTTCTAGTAAAGACGATGGAGGACCTAGGTTAGTACCGAGTAGAATATGGAGCTGCTGCTGTTTAGTCCCCAAGTAGTACTTTCCTACCACGCCCGTTTCCCCCCCGCATTCCCAGTTACTCGGTTGGATTCTTCCGCCTTCTCGACTCTTCCTGGCTCTTCGTATCTCGAGCAATCACGATGTCTCGTGTAGGTTCCACCGATCGAGTCAAATAGAGATGATACTGGGGGGCACACGCGACCAAGCGGGGTCTTCTGTGTAACAACCCTGCAAGCGAGACCATCGCTGCATCGTTGGTGTGGGCCAGCGGAAGTGCAAGACGTGGAAGTGATTCCTGAGGAAGCTCGGAATACCCCTTGGGACTCTGGGAGAGGTGAGGATAAACTCGGAGACGGCCGGAACGTGGGGAGTGGACAGATGGGCGACCCGCTCAGGGAAAGGACTGACTCGACTCGGTGACGCTGGAGTCGTTCGACGGTGGATTTACCGGCAGCAAGAAAAAGGAAGGAATCTTGGAAATGGAAAAGCCCCGGCGCGCTGGTGGCTGGTCCGACAACCCGCCAATCGCAAGCCGTGACTGGCCTTTCAGGCACTGCCCAGGCACCACTGTGGTACTCCCAGTAATCAAAGTAGTTAATAGTTAATTTGAGTATCTCTTACTACTAGTACTCCGTACTCCTCTTCCTTCTCGTTTATTATTCACCACCACCACCACCACCACAATCCCTACAGCTGCACAGCGGGAACTTCCCTTAACACTAGTGGCCGTCCATGATGCAACTGGCTTGCCTTTGCTCAGCTGGCATGCTTCCTCCTACCTGATTTCTAAATAAGATAAACATATATCACCAGGGTCTTCAACTTTAGCTTTGCCACCTACAGTTGCTACTACGGACTTACTACTACTACGTAGTACTACTAAGTCAGTAGTGCTCAGTACAACTAACTACCATCTACTTACCATCTTTTATCTACCATCCTTGACCCATTTTCTGTTTCACACGGTTCCCCCTTCAGTCAGACAACATGGCTGAGTTCTTGCGATCCCAGATTTTGGGAACTACATTCGAAACCACCAACAGGCAAGTGATCACTTCGCTGCTAAGGTCGATTCGTAGCTACTAATCTCCGGCTCAGATATTCCGACTTGCAGCCTGTTGGACTTGGTGCCTTCGGGCTTGTTTGGTACGAGCTCACTTTCTTTTACCATGTAGTCGCCATACCTGGATATACGGATCAAAATGGCTAACCACGTTGCGGCCACACTAGCTCGGCTTATGACATGATTACGCGCCAGCCAGTAGCTATCAAGAAGATGATGAAGCCGTTCTCCAACGCCACCCTCGCCAAACGGACCTACCGCGAAGTCAAGCTATTGAAACACCTGCGTCATGAAAATGTCTGTCTCCCTGCAGTTAATTCCTAAAATCATGCGACTGCTGACCTCCAACAGCTCATTGGCCTGAGCGACATTTTTATCTCACCATTAGAGGACGTGTATGTGGTTACTACAGTGGCTGAACCTCAGAACGTTGTTCGCATGAGTACTAACAATAGGGCGCAGTTATCTGGTGACGGACCTTCTGGGAACTGACCTCAACCGCCTCCTTACCTCGAAGCCTCTGGACGGCAAATTTGTTCAATATTTCACCTATCAGCTTTTGGTACGCCTGCAGAAACATTCCAGTCGATAGAAGCTTGCTAACGACCCCAGCGAGGCCTCAAATACATCCACTCCGCAGGCGTTATACACCGTGATCTCAAGCCGAGTAACATACTCATCAACGAAAACTGTGACTTGAAGATCTGTGATTTTGGCCTTGCGCGACTGCAGGAGCCTCAGATGACCGGATATGTCTCAACTAGATATTACAGGGCACCAGAAATCATGCTTACATGGCAAAAATACGGAATGCAAGTGGACATCTGGAGTGCTGGCTGTATTGTCGCAGAGATGCTTCGCGGAAAGCCATTGTTCCCAGGAAAGGATCATATCAACCAATTCTATCTGATTACGGATGCTCTGGGGAACCCGCCTGATGAGGTCATTGAGAGGATCTGTACAAAAGCCGTAAGAGCTGAGACAATTGTTGCTTTACCTGGAAGTTGATTTATTATCTAGGCTCTTAATATTGTGAAGTCGCTGCCGGAGCGCCAGCCAGCTCCTTGGGCGACTTTGTTTCCAGACTCTGATGAAGACGGTACCTACCCCCTTCACTATTTAACAAGTGCTTGAACGGTTTTTGTATGCTGACAGGATTTGTTCGCAGCTATTGACCTCCTTGCAAAGATGCTCATATTTGATCCCGACAAGCGGATCTCTGCTGCGAAAGCTTTGGAACATCCCTACTTGGGCGTATATCACGATCCCACTGATGAGCCGGTTGCTGAGCAAAAGTTCGATTGGTCTTTCAGTGAAGTAGCCCATTCAATCGATGAATGGAAAATCATGATGTGAGTCTCTTGCGATCCTTGGCCGGGTCCCAAACTGACCAGGATACCAGATACACTGAAGTTGTAGACTTCCATGATCTTGGGCCTACCGGAGAACCAGCCATCACAGAGCCTTTCTTGCCTCCCGACCCGAGCCTCAGCCCCGAGGTCCTTGACCCGCTTGGCCAGATACAAACCCAAAGCATGGTCACCAAATCCGCGGACACTCTAGACCAGGATATTTTGCAGTACCTCCAGATTTAGACTGCGCCAGTTTAAAGCTCTCGAAGGAAGCGAGAGCTGCAAGCTCGGTGAACTAGTTCCGTTTGTCATCACGAGGGTTGCTGGCATTGACATCACTATGCGTCTATTTTGTCAACCCTTTCGTCAGATAAGGCTTTGAAGATCGGTCATTCGGCAATGGGAAAAGTTCTAATGCGTCCCTTGCCTAAAGCCTGTCATAGGCACCACTAAAACCGCGCAGTGTTAGTGACTCAACCTCCTCCATTGGCACTTACCCCTTTTTATCAACTTGTTTCTTTCATTCTATCCGCCTCCGCATCGACTTCAAGACCGAATCTAGTCACTTACGCTGAAGGCCAGACATACACTTTCATCCAAACCAACCATCAGTGCCCACAAAACAACACCACACACCTAGTAGAGAAGAATCTATCGAGCTGGACCAAACACAATGAAAATACTACTTCCCGCCTTGGCTACCTTATTCCATGTTCACGCCTTCCCCCACTCACAGAAGCAAATATTCGCGTCAAACACCACCTGGCAGATATCTCTATATCAAAACCGGCAATGCACCGGCGAAGAAACATCTTTCTCTGGAAACGGAACATTGTCCTGCCACGATTCAATCCTCAACGGCGGTTCCTTGGGCTACATAACAACGACAATGGCAAATGGCTTGAATTGTTCCGTGCGGGTGTTCAAAGATATAACATGCAGTCAGACCATTGATGTTACGGGCTCAGGGATCTGTCAGACTCCGGTTCTGCAGGAGGACGTGCTGATTCGGGGGATTTCTATTTCCTGTTAGCGTTGACACATCTTGACTGGGTCAAGGCTTGAGGGTCTTGTCAATATCTTGTTTCTTTCTCTGCTTTTTCCTACCTCATTTCATTTTCATTTTTCATCTCGAATGCGATATTTGTGTTAGCAAGTCACGACTGTAACTTTCCAATACCTTGACGAGTCCTATGATGAATGACAATCTACAATCCATCCTTTTAAATCTGTGTGACCCATGAAAGCAACGTCAAACCGGATGTATACTTTCTTATTGTATGTTTTACATTTACTCTAGTAGATACTCTCAGGTAGAACCACTATTATCCGCACACGAAAACACCCCATCAATCTGCCCATCCCTATAAGCATCCATAATCTGCACAATAACCCCATACGTCCCACCCACCGTCATAAACGCGCCCAGGAGAATCAACAACACATGCAACAAATACACCACCCGCTTCACCACCCCTCCAGACTTCCAATACTCCCCATGACTATACAACCACAACCACCCCGGCAAACACAGCGCCAGCGGCGCGAAACCCAAGCTCCCCACTAGTGCCAACACATACGTGAAGATAGGAATTGCACACGCCAGGATAAATGCAATCGCAGCTAATCCTATCGTGCAACTCAACCACGTACCCCAGTGCACGACTGTGTTGGCTTGCAGGTGGCGCGAGTGGCGCAGGATTCGAACGAAGAGGTACTTTGCTGCTACGTGTACGTAGAGCGAGCCGCTGACGATCAGGCCTGGTAGGGCGATGCCATAGGCGACGCGCTTGATGGTCGTGCCGGCGCTGCCGAGCGCCGGGGAGGCGATCCATTTCCCGCACCAGGCGTAGATTACTAGTGCGAAGGCGAGGTAGGAGGATGTTACGAATGACATACACAGGTAGACCGCTTTCGGGTAGTCTTTGGGTTTGCGCATTTCGGAGATCACGGGCAGGAAGGCGGATGTTGCGGCGCTGGAGACGAATATCGTGGCCGAGGCGGTTATTCCTGCTGCGAAGGTCGGGGAGCCGATTGCGCGGTAGCCTAGGTCGTAGGGACCTGTTTGGGGGGCTATGGCTGGGCGGGAGCGGGTTGTTACCCCGATGCTTGGGGGTGTTAGGGTTGTGGTGGTGGTGTTGGGGAAGGGGATAGGGACGTACACGACGATGAGAACTGCGGCTAGAATGCTAACGAAGCCCACCCAGGTGAGCCACCCGATGTGGGAGAATTTGCGTACGCTGGCAAAGCCTGCGATGATGATGGTAGAGATCAATGAGAACCACACCGTGCAGAGGGAATGAAGGGAGAGGGCGTTGAATGCGGCAGAGACGCCAATTATCCCTGATGCGGCGGTGATCACATATGTCACGATGAACATGAAGCCGACCACCTCGCGGAGCATGGGGCCTCCTATGAGCTGAGCCATATCGGCCACGGAGTGACATTGTGGGTATAGAGTGCGAAAGTTGCCCAGGATTATGGCTCCGTAGGCATTGAGGACACACCATCCTACCAGGTTGACGGCACCGGGGAAGGCCCCCAGATCATACATCACAGATGGAATGGAGAGGATGCCGGTTGCGAACAGCACTGGAGATGTCCGATGAGAAAAATGCAAGTTGTAGGGAACTAGTTGGGGACATACTCTTCAGGAAGATAGCTGATGCACGGATCCAGCTAACGGTGCGGAAATTGACCTTGCCATCTGCTTGCTTGAAGACTTCATGGCTATCATCGCCTGTTTTGATGTCCGAGGAACTGGCGACTCGGATGTCGTCGCTGGCATCCGGGGCTGGAGCGACCTTGAGGTCCTTGGCCTCATTGATGTACGCCATGGTGCGTGTCCAGGTGAAGGGAACGAGGAGTAACTAGAGTATCCTCTAAAGTCGGGACCCCTTACATTTTTATTGCTAGGCATTTAATGCACAGGGATCAGGCCGCGGAACATTATCACCAGTAATATAATCGCTACTGATAGTATGACGGGCCGATGAGGTCGAGCTCAGTTGCTGGCCGATAAGGATTCCTACGGAGAATTATCTCCGTTGGAGTGCTACGTTGGAGTCTATCAGTTGGAGTAGACGGCATCGTGCATTATCGATGGCTGCGATACGAGGGGTATTTGGGGTAGGTGAACGATGCGATAAGGCTAGTGATTCAAATAATTTCGTCAGTTATCGAACGTGTAGTCTAAGTACGAAATAGATATGTCTGATGGGTTTTGGTGGGTTTGGCGGGTTGAAAATGGGGTGAAGAAACCCAATGAGATTCCTTAATCAGATAAGCTGGACCCTTAGCCTTTCAGGCCCTCAGGCCGCCCCTCACGGCTGCCTGGGAGGGGGATGTTGGAGTCACGGCAAGTCGTTCCTGCCAAATGCAGTAATCGACTCCAACTGCTGGCGATAAGGCTTGGCACATGGCACATGCCAGGCCTTTTCTTCTTCGCTGTGGTCGGTTTCAATACTCTTCTCTTTGTAGAATTGAATCTCGTATACAAATCTACTCACACATCATGTCGGTTTTGTTCACTTCTATTTCGCCGTATGTACCGAGTCCTCTATCTATTCTGTCCCCGCTCTCTCTCCAGGAATTTGAACCTTACAGATCATCCACAGGGACAATCCGGTCAAGAGGGAGGATGCCGCCTCCCTTCTGCGCAATCTGGACCTCTCCATTGACCAAGAAGATGAGGAAGACTTTCATACTCTCTTGGCAGCCGTCCACGACTGCGCCGAAACCGTGGCGAACCTGCCAGACTATCAGCCAGCCCCCGATCTAGATAGATACCCTCGACAGAATGTTCACCGTCCATCCCCAGAGGAACAAGTATTCGGGCAGGCCTGGGCTCACAAGTTTCTGATCAAAGGCAATGCGGAGGGAGGACCTTTAGTGGGGAAGACCATTAGCGTGAAGGATTGCATTGCCGTTGCAGGTGTACCACAGTTGCTTGGAAGTGATATCATTCCCTCTTGGACACCAATTACGGATGCGACGGTTGTGACCCGAGTTCTCGATGCTGGCGCTGACATTCATGGTACTTCGACTTGCGAGAACTACTGCCATTCCACGGCGTCTTTCACGAGTGCTCAAGGAATCGTGGAGAACCCTTTCGCAACCGGATACTCGGCTGGCGGAAGCACCTCAGGAGGGGCTGCCTTGGTTGCAGCTGGCTTGGTTGACATTACGCTGGGCGGAGACCAGGGTGGGAGTGTTCGGGTTCCCTCCGCATTTTGTGGCTGTAGGTGGCCTTGATGATTGTCTTCCAGAATCATAGCTAATGGTGTCAACTCAGGTGTCGGCTTGAAGCCTACGTATGGGCTGGTGCCTTTTACGGGTATTGCTAGCGGGGATGCTATTGATGACCACACGGGCCCGCTTGCTCGGAATGTTATCGACGTTGCCTCTTGCTTAGACGCTATTGCCGGCTATGATGGCATAGACGATCGATGCCTGGGGAGTCCTAAACACGGCTCTACCTCGTTCGCCAAGGCGCTTCAGGCTGAGGCTACAAGGCTCGATGGTTTCAAGATAGGGGTCTTAAAGGAAGGATTTGAGCACAGTACTGTGGACCCCGCGGTCAAAGAGTCGGTCATGGCGGCCATTCAGAAATTCACAGAGCTTGGCGCAACAGTCGAGGAAGTATCCCTTCCAGACCATTACCATGGGCCTGCTATCTGGACCATTCAGCAGCGTGTTTCAGGCTCTTTGACGCTGCTTGGACAGGCACATGGCAGAAGGGGTCTCTACATGACGGAGATGGAGCGTGAGAGACTCCCGTGGACGAAGGAAGGCTTCCAGAGAGCCTTCCCAGCCACTAAGAACGTTATAATCAATGGCCTCTATCTTACCTCACGCTTTCCGGACTTGTACGGCAAATCTGTCAATATTGGCCGTAGGCTTCGGGACCTTTACGAGGATCTTCTCCAAAGGTATGACGTGGTTGTAATGCCGACCACTCCTGTTGTTGCACCGAGACATGGTGCACGAGGCCTACCGGTCGAGTCTCTGAAGCCTAGCATGGGCTTGACAATCAACACGGCAATCTTTGACGTTACGGGGCACCCAGCGATGTCTATACCAGTGGGGTATGCTCCGGCCAAGGATGATCCTCAGGTCAAGCTCCCGGTTGGTATGCAGATTGTCGGAGGGTTGTGGCAGGAACACAAAGTACTCAAAGCAGGATATGCATGGGAGACAAACTACGATTGGAAAAAGGTGGCGAGTAATTGATAAACACAGTACACTAGAGATAGAATTTTATAGAAGTTGGTCTAGGTGACGAACCTTCATTGCGACTGCTATACATTGCCGACTTGGCCGTCATGTCTTTCATATATAATCCCCTGGTTACACACTTCCATATGTCTCATTACCTAGCAAGCAGTTGGGAAACCTTGCGATCTCCTCTCGCGCGCCGAATGCTAATGACACCGAATATGTTGTTCATTTCATTTCATTCTTTATTATTGTCATTATCATGAGTGAGGAAGCTCCTCCTATTCAGTTGATTACATATCCTCCGTCGACAACAAGCGCATGCCCTTGCACAAACGAGGCAAGAGTCGAACACAAGAAAAGTATGGAATCTGCCACCTCTTCTGGCTTCCCCATTCTCTTCATTGGGGCAATGTCAACTGCTGGCTGAAAGTGCTCGCGAATTTCCTCGCTGTACGTTGTCATCGGGGTCTCAATTACACCCGGACAAACACAATTTACACGGATGCCGTCCGCAGAATAGTCGATCGCATCGGAGCGGGTCATCGCAATGACAGCAGCCTTGGAGCTACAATACGCAGCTAGAAGCAAATACGACGCAGTTAGCTCACACCAAAGAGCGTTGACTGAAGAATTGGGCAATAGGATAGAAATCGGACTTACGAGCACTAGGGCGTCCCACAATGCCCAGCTGACTTGCAACATTCACAATAGCCCCTCGCTGAGGAGCGCGATTCGGATCATGGCTCGGTAAGGGAGCTTGTGCCACCATTTGTCTCAACTCTGCTCTAGAACAGAACCAAGCACCCCGATAATTGATGTTGTTGATATGGTCAAATACCGCCGTTGATGTCTCGGTCGTTCGCATGGCATCTCCTAGGATTCCGGCGCAATTGACCGCATAATCTAGCCGTCCAAAGGCATCCACCACCTCGCGGATGAATGACTCGACAAAGCTTTCATCGGATATGTCGCCCGCCTTGAATAGAAGACGCGTCTGAGGGTAGGAAGCAAGAATAGCCTCCCGGGTCTGATCTAAAGAGGCAGGATTGAGATCCGTGATTGCGATTCTTTCACATCCTGCCGAAGCAAACGCTTTTGCTGTGGCTGCACCGATGCCTGCAAAGCCGTTATTTCTTAGCTTTTTCTTTCCCCGCGATAGACTTTTACGAAGGTATACCTGTACCACCGGCTCCTGTGACAACGGCAACTCCCGGAAAGGTCCATGTTTGCGTCATATCCGCGGGCAACTATTATCGTGAACAAGAGAATCGAAACTTCACTTTGAGAACAGGACAGCTCAAGTGATTCAAGTCGAGACAATCATCGCGCATTGGTCTCATGATGAATGTTGACAATATATACTACATCCTTTCTCAGCAAGCAACAGCTGACCGACCGGGTTGGAGAAAGACAGCTTATCGGGCAAGTGGGGTCAACTCTCCCAAAGTGGCGTTGGGGGCAGCCGATTCGGCACCGTCGGTTGGAGTCACTCACGCATTTCCTTTTCTTTCCTCACCATCCTCCACAGCTAGTCTCCTCTCCCCTAGTACCTGGTGTCTCCAATTGGAGAGGTCGCGACATCTTATCTGTATACTCCGGTCATTCCTTCGCCTCCAAATGACTTGATGCTGTCCCAGTCTCCTTCACAACCTTCTCGGGGCTCTCGTCGCTCGAGTGCTGGAGCCAAAACTCGGGTCTGCGTCCATTGCGGGCGCAGTTTCAGAAGGACGGAACATTTGGAGCGACATGTCCGCACGCGTAAGTCGCATCGCATCATCTTTGAGCAAGTCCAGCTAGTCTAGTGGTGTCTGGATCCCTTGCATTGTTCAGAATAATTTCCCATGCTAAGTTAAGGCCCTGTGCACTTGTAGACACCAAAGAAAAGCCGTATATATGCTTCTGTGGCTCCGCATTCACCCGACGAGATCTGTTGAAGCGACACACAACCATTGCACATCAAAGTACCAGTGGTCTGGTTTCGCCGAATTCGCAACCGGATCACGAAGCTTTGGACCATGCCAATAGAGCCGGGACTTCAGAGCCTACCACTATTCCACCCAACTATAACAATGTTCAACCAACACCGCGTCCAGATGTTCCTATCCCCATGCCGCCGATTGCAGAACAGTGGGCAGGACAGCAACGTGGGCCATACATTGAGCAGGATCGCAATTCTGTTCTAAATACGGGGACTAGCAGTGCAGGTGAACTTGGTGCGCATGCCGGCGCAGTCGGCCACGATGCGGAGATTTTGGAAGCTGCGCAGCTTCTTCTTCCGGGCAATTACCGACATGCACCACCTCCAGGTAATGAGCTTCTCACCCCTCTGGGAAGCGCGCACGGCTAACATGCTACCAGCCCAACCGATCCCATACCTACATGAAGAGCTGAATCATTTCCAGGATTTCACACATTTTCTGGACTCGATAGGTCTCCCGTCAGAGTGGGTGCCAGCATTTGGGGACATGGCTCAGATTCAAAACCCCGTTTCAACTGAACAACCCGAGTTTAGCAGAAGTTCTGGGGAACAACACGAATCCTCATCGCGTCCGCGCCAGTCTGAAAGGTCACGGGCCGACTCGCCTTTCCGGTCGTGGTTGCCGTCCGTACCTCCAGGCGACCAGAGCTTCGCATCTGTATCTGACTACGGTATGAGCATTTGAAGACCTAAAAAAAGAAATCATAGCCGGACCCTTGTACTAACTAGTATATAGAGCCTCCTCAAATTAGCAAGAGCCCAATATCGCTCAAAGTTACAGAAGAGCAGCGGCAGCGTCTGGCGGCCTCCTTGGACGAGTTCCGTTATCTTATACCGGATTTTGTCTTACCTTCGCGTCATACGTTGACAAGATACTTGACTTCCTTCTTTTCTGGCTTCCATACACATCTTCCTTTTCTCCATGTACCGACATTCCGGGTCAACGACCGAGCTCCAGAGCTCATTCTGGCTCTCATGACAATAGGCGCTCAATACCGCTTCGAGCACCGTAATGCTGAGAGACTCTTTTATGCAGCCAAGGCAATAGTATTATACCGACTGTCGAAGGAGTCAAGTTTACCACCCTTTAACTCAATCCTTCAGATACCATTGAACAGTATCCGGGACTCATCTCAGCGCTCGGGCCAGGATCCGTTACTCTCGTCGCCAGAGTTTGCCGCAGGAATGAACGCTTGGAGAAGAATCGAGACTATTCGCACCCTGTTAGCTTTGATGGGGTACTCTACATGGGAGAAGGCCGAGCTTGTTCAAGAAGCGTTTGGCCTACAGAATCTGCTCGTTCGGTGCTTGCGAGAACTCGGGCTCATGGAGAACATTACAGTTGCCCCACGGCATTCTCCTTTGCAGTGGCATGAATGGGCCGAAGAGGAATCTATAAGACGCACTCGATTCATATCATTTTGCTTCGTTCACGTTCATAGTATCGCATACAACATTTACCCAGTGCTCCGCAGTAGCGAAGTGCATCTACGTCTCCCGTGTTCCACGCCGGAATGGAAAGCCGCCACAGCCCACGACTGGGAGGCCGCTCAAAAGGAGGTGGACTCTCAGCAACTATTCTTTCAGGATGCTTTGGCACTATTGCTGCAACCTTCACGAAATCCAGTACTTCTAGATCCGATCCCTGCGCCTTTGGGTAATTATATTCTGCTTCATGGCCTACTTCAACGCATTCATCTTGTGAGCGAGCTATCTATTCCGAATGGGGATCAGTCATACTCACTTCCGACCGAGGAGTTGAATAAGTTAGAGTGAGTTCTTCTGTCTAGCAAACCCGCATTTGGACTACCCTCCTGACCTTCACATGACTAACGGTTGACGCGTCTGATTAGGAGAGCACTCCGGTCCTGGACTTCAGTTTGGCAACAAGCCCCCGAATCTAGTCTTGACCCGCATAATGAGAATGGACCGATTCCGTTCACTTCCAGTTCGCTCTTGGGTTTGGCATATGTCCGCTTGTCTCTCAATCTTGGACCGCATCGTCAGTTGGAGACACGGGATCCATATCGTATAGCCACCGCGATACACAGATCGCCGCGACCAGGAAGGAGCTATAGGTTGACACCTGCCCTCATTTATTCTGCACACGCGCTGAGCATTCCCGTACGCCTGGGTATCGATCACGTGGCGCGCAGTCAAGCCTTCTTTTGGAGTGTTCGTCACTCACTTGCTAGTCTAGAGTGCACTGTTCTTCTCAGCAAATGGCTTATGTCCCTGGCTGAAACTGGCAGCAGCCAAGCTTTGAGCGGTATGATTCCCCGTAAAAGAATATAGGCTCCAACAACGATCGAGGGCTTGCTAACATGAATATGGACTTTAGAGAACGAGAATCGGATCTTACATTGGACGCGTTGCATTGTACAAGAAGCTTACGAATCAATGGATCTTGAAGACGGGGAATCGTTCCCTAGCCAGGATCCCGGAAGTCTTGGATTGGCTGTCATCAAGCTTTGGGCTCGACTCTTTCGGAAGAATACCCAGTGGCCATTCATCAACGTACTTGGGGAGAGCCTAGAGCGGTATCTCGCATTTATTCAACCTGGTTAGACAAGAACACGTTCTCGGTTAGAACCCAACATTCTCTTCAATCACCATACAGTGGATTCACATCCTCTTACCTACATAAAAGCGGGTGCTTTTCCACGGGTGGGTTGCCGCAAAGCTCTGGTGTGAAGTTGCACCATGTGGTACCTCAGGTTCTGTCCTATACCTTCGCGACCAACGTGAAAGCGGAGGCATGATTCTAATTGGAGCGAGGTAGGTGCTGAGTATAGCACTTCCAATGCTAAGTAGGCTTATGTGTCTTGCTAATTCCACGTCATCAAGATCAGCGCTAGCATCTCTCTCTTCTCTCGCGGCACTGCTTTGCTTGAGAGACGGGGCTTTGAATCTCAACGCTTGCAGGTGTACCGACTATGCGAATTTACGAACTCATTAACGAACATAAACTCATGAGACTTAGTGCTACGGTTAGACATGGTATATTAACAATTTATACAAGTGCAACATAGTGGCAATATACTATTCAGGCGATCATACATTACACGTCAAGTTCATAAATTGTCAAATTACATTAATCCAGAATTGGGCATTAAGGCATAATTAACAGACGCCATCTCCAAGTTATTACCTCTCCTCCTCAATGTTGTACCGAACATCTTTGTGCAGTGATTGTTCCGAGATACCACACAATCTTGGACTTCATTGATGGTGCCAAGCGCCACTATTGAATACAGCACCGAACCTAGAAGAACCTCCTCGCAAAGCTGGGCGAAGGAGTGGCGGATGCAGACAGCGAGGCCGAGCTTGAAGCAGCTGCGCTTGCGGAGACGTTCGCACCGAGTGTGGCAGTAAGAGGTCCGATGAACAGGGTCTGGCCGCAGGGAACTGGAGGAGAAGTGACGCAGCCTTGGAAGTATGAGCCAAGCTGGCCGGGACCAGTACCGTTGGAAAGAACGTATCCCGGGCTGTATGCAGGCACCAGCGAAGAGCTGTTCGTCGGGAAGAGAATGGTCTGGTTCTGGCTCGCGATATAGTAAGCGTGAGCAGTGTGCTCAGCAGCCAAACGAGCCCACAAGAACGAAGCCTCGGGGGCCTGGGTATAACCAGCCAGGGCAATGTACGCTCCAGCAACTGTTGACTCCAACTGGAGCGCGTTCTGCACAAAGGAATCGGCGTCAGTGGCACTTGGGAAGGTGAAGCTGCAATTCTGAGGGGTCCAGCCAGACAGCTTCGAGCCAAGTTGTTGCACAGCACGCACACCCAGACGGTTCTGTCTCTGAATACCCTGGAAGTTGGTGAAGTACTGCGAGTTGGAGCCATTCTGGGAGCTGCTCAAGAAGGTCTGATTGACCGGGACCGACGAATAGAAGCGGTCGAGGAAGTAAGAGAGCGCATAGCCATAGTCAACGGCTTGAGATTCGTTTGACTGAAGAGAGCAGCTCTGAGCCGCAGCGGCTCCTGCCAGGAGCAGGCCGTTCAAGGCGGAGAAAATGCGCATCGTGCCGAGTAAATTGGCTTCGATTGGATGTTCCGAGTGATGTTTCCTTGTCTTATGGATCCGATATATTGCAGAGAGAGTATGTGCAGTATATCCAACACAATAGGCGCGAACAATTTTCCTGGATGATAAAACCGCGAACCTTTCAGCCGGCAAGAACCAGCACGAGCTATTCTTATAGCTTCCGTCAACACTCCATGCTTACAAAAACTACTGAATGCAACGATATGATGAAATGCAAATCCAGCCCTGTCGAAACGCGCGGCCCTGTCGAAATCTCAACAGAAGCGGAGCCTCGACTTGCATCACTTGCATCATGACATGGCCGGCCAAAGCCTATTGACAAACCTTGTCTCACATACAACAAGGGAGAAGAGGAAAGAGAGAAAGAGTTTCGCCTCCAAACAATGCACCGCCTAGACTACCTCTCACTCAATAGGTCGGTTTCTTCCGGGGCACTGCGGAAATCCCATCCTATTAAACTTCGAACCCGGTGTTCGGTCGACCCATGGTCTCTTGTGCGTTTAACCTTCAAACTCATCTTGCTGTGGTGATATCATGGAAGTCTTGTGTCTTCCACTTAATAGCGAATGATATCATTCAGAAAAAAGAATATGAACGGAAAAGGGAAGTTACAGGCATACATACATCAAGGACGGTCCCGGCCGGAGAAGAGCGGTACTCCAACTAACCTACCTCCTCATTTACTTACTGGTACTGGCACCGGGGAGAGGTGGCTTGTATTGCGAGTTAAGGATTCATTTCATCACACGATCAAAATAACATAAATGACAAGATTACGAACTAATTTCTAGATGAGGCAATTTATCAATTTATTTACTCCGTAGCCGTAAGTACTACTAGACTATCTAGCGATGGAATGAATCGATGATGATCCCCGTGTGTCTGGTGTCATCCACTCACTCCCGGATCGGATCTCGGCGGCAAAGAAAATAAACTTAATCCGAACTAGTCCTTTCCCGGTTAGGTCGCATGCATGCCAAGCACACCTTGTTTTGCTCGGAGCTCGGAATTCAAAGGGTCCAGTGACTGACTTACTTTTGTAATTGCAGGGTCCATGAATCAGTATCCATGATGCCCGGTTGTGCAAAGCAAGTGGCGATATTTTGTGCGTGCTTATCGGTGGATGAAGGGGTCTCTATGCTATTTTTCACAATTACACTTTTCGGGGAGGAGGGTTCCCCCTTCGTACAGCTTGATTTCTTCAATGTTGCCTAATTCTTTGTGTCCATGGATCATGCCGTGGCTGTGGTATGTATGTAGTCGCTTATGAGCATAGAGGGGTAGCGGGTTATATGAACATAGTATATTCTCTATAAAGTCACAGTCAAGCAAATTTTGGGACATGGAAACAAGGCAAAATAGGACTAGTAAAGCCTGCAATTTTTTCTCGTCAGGCACGATAACGAATGTATAAGAAAAAGAGAAAAAAAATTGAAGAATATAAAATGAATAGCAATGGTAGAAATACCCCATGCGCCAGCTTTCACACAGTTAATAATAAACAGGATTGATAGATAAATATGTGTAACAAGGGCCTTTTCAATATGTGCGAACTTTTTATGAGGTCCCTAGTAATAGTAGAATGAATAAAGCAGGAAGGAGGCGATCTATGAGTCATTACCACTATTTTTATGATCCCAGGCTTTCTTGGCTCCTTCCAGAAGACTATCCATGTTTCCACTGTTTTCGCACATGCTCCGGAAGAGGCCGTCGCCCTTGTTTATTAATGTCCAGGGGTGGTCGTACTCGATGACTCGGCCGTGGTCGAGGACCAAGACCTTATCGTAGTCGATGATTGTCTGTAGACGGTGCGCAATGGTGATGATGGTGCTTTCCCGGAGTTCCCGGAGGGTTTCCTGGATTTTGGAGTCGGTGTTGTAGTCTATAGAGGCGGTGGCTTCGTCCATCATCAGGACCTTCGGGTTCTTGAGTAGCGCACGTGCAAGACACAAGAGTTGTCGCTGGCCTTGGGACAGGTTGGACCCGGATTCGGAGACAGCAGTGTCCAGGTTGAGGAAGATGTTCTTGTTGTCCAGGATGCCGCTACTAGTGACCCCGGTGGGGGTTGCGGAACTGGGCTCTGCGAGCGTACTAGTGGTCATTGGGGTCGCGGTGCCGGAGGTACCCGGGCCAATAAGGTGCACACGTTTCAGGGCAGTAAAGATCTGCTCGTCCGTGAAGAGGTCGAACGGGTCAAGGTTGCTGCGGATAGTTCCTGTGAACAGAGTAGGATCTTGAGGAACGATGGTGATCGACTCTCGCAAGTCACGGAGACCAATTGCGCTGGTGTCCACGCCGTCAATGACGATGCGGCCCTTTTCAGCTTCGAGACCACGGAAAAGCGCCAGAGCAAGCGAGCTCTTGCCAGCACCGGTGCGGCCGACGATACCGACCTTCTCTCCAGGTTGCACGCTGAACGAGACATTCCTGAGAACGGGGTCAAGGTCCGGTCGATACCGAGTTGTATATCCAACGAAGTCGACCGCGCCGCCGCTGGGCCAGTTGGCCGGCGGTCTAGAGTCAGGAATGACTGCGTCTGCCTCTTGCTCGACTTCGAGGTATTCCCTGACACGTTCGACAGAGTTCATGTTCTGTTGAACCTCCGAGTACAACCGGACTAGCCAAAGAACGTTCTCGGTGAACGTGACTGCGTATGTCAGCGAAAGTCCAGCAGCACCGGCATCAATCTTTCCAATGTTGATCAGAACGAAAACAGCGGTGAAGAATGACACCAAGGCTCCTGTTACGTCGACCCGAAGTGCCAGCCAGCGATTGCTCGCCCACAGATAAATGTGAGGACGGTTGTAGGCGTTGATACGACGGTGGTTGTCAACGATGAATCTCGGTCCGTCGCCATAGGCACGGATGGTAACAATGCCGTTCAAGGTCTCGCCAAATTGCTGGTACAGAGGACTCCGCTGCACGGACTCAAGTCGTTTGAGATCGCGAGAAGCATTCAGGTAGACGGCACCGAGGGCGACATAAACCAAGGTGATGAAGATACCTGCGATCAGGAAACCGGGCGTGATGACTGAAATGAGAATGACAATCATCACGACGGATGCCAGACTATGGAGCATGCCTATAGCTACAGGTGCGACTTCCTGATCGACGGATTCCACATCCTTAGAAAAGCGATTCATCAGCTGGCCCAAGGGGGTCGAATCGAAGAACTTGAACTTTGCATGCATGACCGATCTCAGCAGGCGTTGGTGGATCTTGAAAGAAGCGTTCAGAGAACCCCAGAATAGGACACCCTCCCTTACTAGCGAAATAGCGACGAAAGCAACTCCCAGTAATGCGTAGACACCGAGATAATATGATACGTTGACATTGCCATTGCCATTGGCGTTCACACTCTGCGTACCAAACTGGGGTGCGCTGAAAGTGGATGTGCGAGGAACACCACCAACATTGAAAGACGGGATCTTGAAGGCTGCCATCGCCGCGTAGTCACCGGGATCCGCACCGACTTCCTCAGTCTGGTAAGAATTGGCCCATTGTCTGATCCAAATATTAGTCGATACAGACCCGAGTTGTTGCATGCAGAAAACAAGCACAGCCACGATCCAGTAGCGCCAGGATCCCATCGATTGAAGATACATCTTAACCGTAGACAACTTGATACTGCCGACAGCCTTGGACTCTACCAGCTTAGTGTCGGAACTCTCCTTGGCCTTTCCGTTAAGGGCATTGGTGGCATTACCGTTCGTAAGCGATTCGTCATCTTGCTCTGCATGGTCCGAAGGTCTGCGAGAAGGACGAGGAGTAGTAGTCCTGGAAGTTGGTCGGGATTTGAGTAGTTCATCACCCAACGCACCAGATGCCGCTACTTCGTCTGGAGGACCCTGGGCGATGATTTTACCGTTATCAAGAGCAATGACATGGGCTGCTTCGAACACGGTTAAAGCAACATTGTGTGTTACCAGAACACAAGTCCGGTTCATCATCAAGGGACCGGTCAAGGCCTGGCGGAAAATGTGCTTAGCGGTGTGCGAGTCAACTGCACTCAAACAATCATCCAGAAGCAAGTGACGAGCTCTGCTGTACACAGCGCGCGCAAGCGATATTCTCTGTTTCTGGCCTCCCGAAAGACTGATGCCCTTTTCTCCCACAAGGGTCTGGTCGCCTGCATCGAGAATTGACAGGTCCCGCTCCAAGGCACAGGCCTTGATTACAGCATTATACCGACGTTGATCAAAGGGGGAGGCAAACACAATGTTATCCTTGACAGTAGCATTCACGAGCCACGCTTCCTGTGCGCAGTAGGCAACGCTTTCGATGAGACCTGTCTGAGGATCAACTGGGAGTTCCGAGCGGTTAGCTGTGCCTCCAGGCAAGTGAACCTTTCCTTGCAGAAGCTTCATTTCGCCAAGAAGCGCCATAAGCAGCGACGTCTTTCCAGAGCCAGTCGGGCCAGTAATCAGATTGAGTTTGCCAATCTGGAAGTCCACGTCCATATTGATCAGACGGAAACCATCGGCAACCTCGTCTGACGGATCATCCTTGTACTGACCCTGGGCAGATCCCCAGGTAAGGGTAGCATTTTCCAGCGCGATCTTGGGCGGTTGTCCATCAGACTCCTCCTCCTCGAGTTGACGGTACTTCTGAGTCTCTTCTTCATTCAAATAAGTGTCAACACGATCAAGGGAGACCTTGGACTCTTGAACGTGAGCCACCATATCGGCCAACTGGTCGAGAGGAACGCGGAGCAAAGAGAACATCGACAGGGCCGGGAATGCGATCGACGGGGTCAACTTCTTTCCCTCCACCACTGTATACAAGAAGAATGAGGCGAACGTGATAAGGATGGGCGTGCCATACCAGACAGTTGCCGCCGTAGACCAGATGATGTACCGAAAACGCAAAGCCTTCAACTCCGCCTTTCGCTTCTCGTTGACGATGTCCTCAAAACGCTGCTCCCAGGCGAAATACTTGATGATTCGAATATTCTGGAGGATCTCATTAGTGCTATGAATCCGAGCATCGGTCCCCTTCAGGATCCGATTCTGAACCTTCGTAAACTGTTTGGCGATCGTAAGGTTGATAGGCAACATAAAGACCATGATGACTATTCCAGCAAACGAGCTGAATCCCAGGAGGCGGTACAGAAGTGTTACAGCAATGATGATCTGCACCGGCACACTGGCCCACAAAAAGTGCAGGTAGGCGCCGACTTCGCTAACTTTGAAAGAGTCAATTGCCATCAAATTGATGATAGTACCAATGTTAGCCATGTGTTCTTTGTCCTCCTGGTCATCTTCCGACTTCTTCGCCTTTGCGTTATTTGTCTCGGGGTCGGTTGTTGCCTTCTTGTTCTTCCGACCGAACGAGAAGAAACCGCCTTTCTTTTGATCCTTCGCAGGCTCTTCTGGCTGCTTCTTCGCGGATTCTACAGACGACCCCGCTTTCCGCCGGAGGGCCTTCGCATAGATTTCGCCGATGATGATAGCCCGAAGTTTGACACCCAGCTTGCGTCCGATCCAGAGAGCCTGACCATCAGCGATACCTTGGATAGCCCCAGAGCAGAACAGTAAGATAGCATAGAGCCACGCAGCGTTTGCAGTCGACGACCTTGGATCCTCCACATACTGCAGGAGTACGCGGAGGAGGATTGTAGGCAGGTAGGTGAACAGGTTCGAAAAGATCGTCCAGGCACCTTGGAGAAGGAGGGTACCGTAGAAGTACCGACATAATTTCCACACCAATGAGCCCTGGTAATTCCTGCGGCGGAAGTCTTCCAACACTGTGGCTGCTTTCTGAGACGCTGTCAGATCCCAGACATCGTCGAGCTCCAACGGCTGTCTGTAGCCCTTGAGAATGAGAGGATCCAGCCAAGCAAAAGTAGCCAGCGAGAACAAGCTGGCTGTGGGATGCCTCGCAGGCTCCAGACCCTCATCATGCGATACCAAAACCACTTTGTTTCCTCTACGGGTAGTGACCGCGATGAGCAAAAGCAAAGTGGACAAGGCAAACTCAATGGAGCTGAAGACCACAGCGCGATTCGACAAGGGGTGGATAACGGCGGAGCGAAAAACGAAGACGGTGAAAATCCATTGCAGTCCGTACAACAATGCCGTATGGTTCCATATCCTGGGAGATGAATGGAGGTCGAACGTCGAAAGTAGCAATCGAACCAATGCCAGGAACAATATGTAGCCCCAGGAAACAAGCTTGGCGATGGCGGGAAGAGTACCCTGGCGACCCCAAACGCCCGTGGAAAGGACAGCCACGAAGACGGCCACTTCTCCTACAAGCGCAAGGATCTCCAGCGTTAAAGTTGCGATTTCTCCACGAGGACGATCAACTTCGAATGTCGGTAACTCGGACTGTGCCGCTTTGCTGAGCATTAGGTCGCTTTCCTCCCCTTCATCATCCAAGGTTGCAACTGGTGAGTCGCCTTCAACCGCATTGTGATCTAGTAACTTGTAGGAGGCGCTTTTTCGAGAAACGGTGCATTGGTATGCGACGCGAAAAATGACGAATAGTAATGAGAGCCCGCAGGCTGTAAGAGGAAATATTACTTGAAGATAGCTACAATTGACAGTCAGACGTTAGCTGGCGACTCCGGAGATGAGAATAATGGTAGAAGCGACATTGGTTGACGTACTTGCGTTGGAAGCAACGGGAGACATCATCGATAGCCCAGATGGGCCCGTGGCATTCGACCGCCATGGCTGGCGGGCGGATAAGAAGAAGTTGTGAGCACCAAAGCTTAGGAACAGCATGCGCTCCTAACTCGGGACCAGTCGACAGACTGGTGGGATAAATGGGTAAAATCCAATCGAGTTATAAAAGATTTTTAAGCCTAGATACTCTGGTGTTTGCTTCCCGGACTATAGATGCAGGGCAAGCCCAGCATCGCCAAGGTGATAGGCGGAGGAGGAAAAGAAAATGGCAGACGAACCAAAGGCCCGACGGGGGACTGAGGAACACTACCAAGAATGCCGGGAAGAAAAAGTTGGCAAACACCACATGCAGTCAAACCAGCACGAGGGTCGGAATCAAAGAAGGAGAAACAAAGAAAAAAGAAAAGGGAGAGAAAATGAAGGAGGGGAGATAGAAGAAGTAAAAGAGAAAGAAGGAAGCAGCAGCAGCAGCAAAGCGATGACGAGTGGGAACTCACGCCGGTTTGGCAACCTAACAGAAAGTAAGCTAAGGCGGGAACTCACTTTGGTTTAGTTCGGGTGGACTCCTCGTCGCCTTCTGTTTAGTTCTCGCATCCACCGCCCGCAGCCAGAAGGATTCCAGACCTTCCCCCCCGGCGGAGCTCAACGGGTTACAACGCTGGAGTCAATTCTTATTATTCCTCTCGATCCATTGGTCTTCTTTGCCGGTTAGCGAGAAATTTGAAGATGACTCGTGCTTATCGTCCCTGATTACCCTGAGTCACCTCCCCATTCCATTACTGATACTAATGGTCTACTTCGGGGCCTAGTGTATCTCGGAGACACTCTCCCTGCACTAACAAACAGTCCGGTTCAATTCTCACGCTTGGCTCATCAACCCTCCCCTCATGACCCTCGATCTGCTACCTACACGGTCGACAGGCATCCTTCGATCTTCTACCCGTCACCATTATACTGAGGAATCGATCTAACCACGAGATGCGTGGAGTTGGCGACTTTATCGTGAAGGAGTGTCACAGAACAGGGCCCTTCTTCCCTTGGTGGGAGATCCGTCCCACCCCAAGCCCACGTTGCGGAGACAGGGTCGGGGTTGCTTTCTAATGACTGGACAATCACTGCGTATGTAGTATATGCTTTTAAGGGTGGAAGGATGACTTGACGTGCCAAAGTATCTCTTCGCAACATTCCCAGAACCCAATCAGGCTTGTATGCCAACCTGCAGAAAATGGCTTATCCGCATGACCAACGCCATCCAGGCCTTCCACCTCGCGTTCAAGTCCCTGTCAGTGACTCAATGAAGGAGAGAGGGGTCCAAGAAACATCCAGATGTACGCCCTAGGGCGTCTGAGAGAGTCCGTGCATCCTGCATGCCCCTTGCCCGTCACACCGACTCAACTTCAAGCAAGTCAACCTTTTGTTGCCATCTAACGGACTAATTCGTCATCCTCCTGCCTATGAGCTTTGAATATTTCGATGAGTCAGATGTCAAACTGTCGGAGAAGAAGCGGTCGCAGTCTTTGATCACTTGACGGTCTTGCTTTTCATTAGTCCGACGCTGGAGCTTGTGAGACAATGAGCCAATTTAGTCGCCCAATGCGCGATAACGCCCGCTAAAGTGTGTCTGGCTGGCCGGCCTATTTCAGATGCGGGTATCCCGAGATAAGGACGCAAGGCAGCTAAACCGCGTAGAGTTTGAATTGGTCAGCAAAGGAAAAAAAGTCGCAGTGTGTCTCAACAACGGCCGAAACAATCCTTCTGTTGCAGAAGTGGTTGGTGCTTGCGATAGGATCTCCCTTGTCTTATCGGATTAAACTTCGTTGCTCTAATATCGTAAGTTATTATAACGGTTGGAGCCGACAAACAGCACTCCATGCTGAATGGGGCAAGAGTTTCAACGGCATGAACTATTCTCATTCTATCGAAAGGGGATTCCCCACTTTGCTGGGTTCTTTCCCCCCCACTGTCGGCTACGCGGGACAAGAAAAGAATAATGAACAATCCTGTGGAAGAACAATGGCCCTCTGGCTTCTTTCGCCCTGGTCCTTGTTTATCTTAAGATTTCCCCAGACAACTACCATAGATCGACCAGTACAATGACAAGTATTGATTAATTAACCCAAGGAAGATTCAGATTCTGCTGCAAAATGCTTTCTTTCGGAACGCCACCCCGGGCCCTTCCGCTGCGCGTGGATGCCATGGATTGCCACAGCGGGACTAGTGTGTGATCATCAATCACTTTTAAACCCGTTGATCTCGTCCTGATCCAGCGCCTATCCAGCCCTGATCACTTCGACTTCAAGAGGGGAACAAGAGGAAAGGAAAAACGATACCTGTTATCTCGACTGCCGAGTCAATTATCGACCCTTTGGGCTTCCAGTCTAGCCACCATCATTGCTCACCGACGGCACGCGATCGTTCGCCCCTGTTAGATCATCACCATGGCCGAACGCATTTTGATGAACGAATATAAGACACTATCACAAGAGCCCTGGGTAAATATCGATGTACGTATATATTCTCAAATACCACTCTACTTCTGGTCATACGTCGAAGACCATCGCATCATGTGTCCCATCGCAGACCACACCTCAAGTCACATCAAGAATGCTGACCGATATCCCTTCCAGGTTGACGAGCAGAATCTCCTACACTGGACGATCGGGTTAATCGTTCTAAACCCGGATTCTTTATACTATGGCGGCTACTTCAAAGCGATCATGAAATTCCCGAGTAACTACCCTTACTCCCCACCAGGTGAGTTCACGAACGTCCCTCCCGATACAACACGCCCGCCCCCTCCATCACACCACCCCACCCCTTTTTGCCCACCCTGGAAATGTGGCAACAATGCAGAAAGGCAGACCAGCATAACTGACATACAATCTCAATTTCCAGAATTTCGTTTTGTCCGCCCCCTCTACCACCCGAACATCTACAAAGACGGCAAGCTCTGCATATCCATTCTCCACGCCCCAGGCGAGGATGAAATGTCCGGCGAACTAGCCTCAGAGCGCTGGTCACCAGCCCAACGAGTCGAATCCGTGCTCATCTCCATCCTCTCCCTCCTCGACGACGCCGAGATCTCCTCCCCCGCCAACGTCGACGCCTCTGTCATGCTCCGCAAGAGCCCCGACGAATACAAATCCATCGTGAAAAAACACGTGGAGGAGTCGAAGAACGACATTCCCGAGGGATTCGTCATGCCCACCCACGAATCCACCATATCAGTCTCTAAGCCCGTGGAGAAGGACGACTCCGACTTCTGGGCTGAGAGCGATGTGGACGACGACGTCTTCGGCGGTAGCGACTCCGACGAGGACCTTGATGTTTATGACGACGACGAAGACCAGGATTCCGGCAGTGACGAGGAGGAAGAAGAAGACGAACACAAGGCTACTTGATTTATTCAACCTATCAAGTATAAAACCAAAGCTGTCGCCACCTCTCTCTTACTACCTATATATTTGGCGCTTGGAGTTACTTCTACATATTACTTACATAGTTTCCCCCTTTTTTTTATATATTTCATCGTGTGGCATAGCGCAGGCGCGGCATTAAGAGGTGGTATACAGCACAAACAATCAATTTAAGATCATTCCCTCTATTTATCTGTATTAGCATGCGTTGGAGGTTCTTTGTATGCTTTTACTACTATCACATATCTTTCTATTTTACATAAGATGCCGTTATAGATGACTTTATTATTCTTTTGCTCCTTGAAAGAATGTATGCACTGCTGTAGCTAATCATAGGAGTACTTCGGCACAGCTCGTTTCGGTATGACCCCGTAGCGTGACCAATGATGTCATTAGTTGCTTGTCATGGGATTGATTGCATCTCCAATAAGAAATACGAGAGATAAGAGGAGATGGATATGACTTGGAGATAACCATTTCTAGGGATGAGCTCCGTTGTAGATGACTATATCCACATACCGCAAGTAATTTCATACATTACGACATGCCGTAATGGGGGTTAGACTGATGTCTACTCCCTCACCTTTCTCTTCTACTAAAGCGGTGTGCAGATCTCTTAGATAACCCAGTGAGATTGTCAGTCTGTTATAGAGCCAGAACATTCTAAGTGAGGTAACAAAACCTTCTTTGCGGACATGTATACTACCATAAAAATGAACCAAACAGATAAGCAGGGGCGGAGTGATACAGCCGATACAGTCAATGCATCGGCGTCTTCGAGACCAAACACAATAAAAAGAGACCAGCGCCAAAATGTCCGATCAACCATCCCATACCTCAAAAAAAAAAAACCAAAGTCTTCCGATCTACGTCTGGAAAGCACGAGTTCTGATCTATGCGACAACGGCATCCTGAATCTCGCTGTAGATGGCACCAAGCTCCTCGGTGAGCAGCTCTTCGGCCTTGTGAACCAGACCCTCAATGCGGTCCTCGATGCGGTTCTTGGCAGAGGAGACCTTGTAGCCACCGCTGCCAACAATGTCGGTGTAGTTCTCGGAACCACCACCGTTCCAGGCAAGGAGCTGAAATATTGAGTTAGCTCGTTTCGCTTGTAATTATCAATAGCGACATGACTTACGTTGGGGGTGTTGGAGGGAATGTCAGTAAGAGCGCCCTCGGTGGCAATAGCGATGATGTCCTTCTTCAGCTTAGCAGGAGTAAGCTCCTCGACAGCGAAGGCAGAGTCCGAGGAGGGCTGGAGGGAGACAAAGTAGGCAAGCAGGCCAGCAATGTGAGGAGAGGCCATGGAAGTGCCAGAGATGATGTTGGTGGCGTAGTTGCTGCCAATCCAGGTGGACAGGATGTTGAGACCAGGAGCGAAGATGTCAGTGCACTCTCCGTAGTTGGAGAAGTACGCACGCTCATCAGAAAGAGTCGAGGCACCGACGGTGATGGCCTTCTCAGCAGCAGCAGGGGAGTAGTTGCAAGCATCAGCGTTGTCATTACCCGCAGCAACGGCGAAGTGAAGACCAGCCTCAACACCAGCGTTAACAGCATCCTCGAGGGTCTTGGACTTGCCACCACCGAGACTCATGTTGGCAACGCTGCCCTTGAATCCCTTGACCTTGCCATTCTTGGCATCCTTGGCCTTCTTAATGTGAGCCTGGACGGCATACTCAACACCAGAAACGACGTCGGACATGGTACCAGAGCCGCTCGACCGGAGGACCTTGACGGCATAGAGGTTGGCCTTCTTGGCAACACCATACTTCTTACCAGCCATGGTTCCGGAGCAGTGAGTTCCGTGACCATTGCCATCGAGATCCTCGTCATTGGTAGGGATTGTCTTGCCCCAAGTGGCACGGCCCTCGAAGTCAACGTGGTCAACGTTGATACCAGTGTCAATGGTGTAGGCGTCAACACCCTCACCACCCTCGGAGGCATAGAGGTACTTGTTGAAGTTGCCGAAGGTCAGGCTATCACGGTGAGAGATACGAGCCAGACCCCAGGGGGCGTTCTTTTCGGTGGCCCCTTCCATAGTGTGAACTTCGGAGTCCCGCTCGATGTAGTCGACCTACATTGACCGAGGTTAGCAGCTTATCTAAGAGATAACGAAGTATGCTTAGATAGGGGTGTAACTCACATCGGGGTGTCTGCGGACTTGCTCGATGACATCTTCGTGGAAGTGACCAGAGTAACCGATCAGAGAACCAGCAATGTCAAAGGTGTTCTTGAGACCCAGGTAGGCTTCGTCACCGAGGCCGAAGAGCGACCGCTTCTTCAGCTCAGTTCGCTCGCTCTGAGAGTCATGGATGTCCTGCACCCAGCTGTGGTGAGCCGAAGCCAGCTCGGAAGTGACGTGCTTCTTGAAAACGACGATGTAGGAGTCGGGAACCTCCTTCGCGTTGGTGGCAGACAAGATGGGGGCAGCTTCATTATGGATGGAGTCAACGAAGACGGGCGACGCAGCCGTCAGCAACGGGAGGAGGGAAAGGCCGAGGATGCCCTTCATGATGGATAGCTTTAGAATGGAACCCACAGCAGCCCGGTGAAAAAGGAGGGTGAGTAGGGAGTGTCCAAGAGATTGAAAGGAAGTGAGAGATGAGAAAGATGGAAATAGGCAAGATAAAGATGGAGGAGAGAGGGAGAGGGAGAGAAGAAGGGGAGGTTGGAGATGAAGAGAGGAGAGGAGGACAGATGGATGGCGGACGGTATTCAGCAAGAGGCAAGGGCAGCAGGTGATGATGCAACCGGCATACGGTAATTTACGCCATACGCCCGGATGACACAGCAGAATCACTGGTTGTCGATCGTCCCCGATTAGCGCGGTCGGAGAAACTGGGACCTGGGGTAGACTCGACAGTCCACCGACAAGGAAAGCTGTGTGAATGGATCCATGTTGGCGCCATGTACCCATATTCGGGTCTCTCTCTCTTTCCCCCTTGGCAGTTTGCCCCCCATCTTCCCCTCCCTGTTGGACTGACAGATTGTAGCGTGTTCCCGGAAGTTGAGTACCTGAGACCCGAGAACCATTTTGCTACCACTACTTCACAGTAGTATGCGGGCAATACTACTACCTACGAAAAACGAATACAGTTTTCTATGTCACTACGTAAGCAGGAGACTACAAGGTACCCGCAGACGATAAGGGACCGGATCCTGCTCCAAAATAATGAGGCGACTAGGGCGCAGCCTGCATTTCCTGCGGTATGGCAGTTGTAAAATGTTCCTTATAAAGCAAGATCGTGGCGGTGACTCAATGTACCTAGCAAACTAACTGACTAGTTCGTTAGTCAAAGGAGTAGGGCGTTTCCCAATGGAGGGAGTGCGTAGCTATAGGTCCCTAAGCATCTCTCTTCATGTAACTAGCCATGCTACTTACCGCATGTCATGGCAACCCGGTCTTTGAACACGGGAGAAGAGCTTCCCGCATCCTCCGCAACTAGCATGGGATAGCTCTCTTTTTTTTTTTTTTTTTTTCGCGAATCAAATGACCCTGCATACATGTATAGGAGCTCCCCTTTTCGATGTCTGACTGACTGTACTGCAGGTACCTGGTATGTTAAACCTGCCACTGAGCAGCAGCGTGGTCGGTCCCCAGGCAACGCCGAGTCGCGTGCTCAAGCCAACCATGGGTTTGCTCGGCTGACTCCTCCTGAACCAGGAAAGATCGGTTGCGTAGGTGGTTAGGTAAGGCCTAGGGACGGTAACTGATACCAGATATTACCGCCCGCCCAAATACATTACGGCTCCTTTCAAGGTCAGAGCTCCGTTAGATAAGGCGCCCTCTTATCAAGGCAGCCATCGGGCCAATCATGCTCCTTCATCCGATGATCGTCTTTGTCGCCTGACGCTTACCGAGGTTGGCTTAGAAGCACTCCATGGGAGTGATGGAGAAGACCCGGTTAAACTACCTAATTTTATGGAACTTCTACACGCCACTTTGTCTGTAGATGTGAAGAAATGTCTGGGTTAAACGCCGATCATCAACTCTATATCAACAGGCGGTGTCAGGCTTACGACGTTCAGTGGCTTACTCACTTCGGTCTGACTTCTTTTCCTTGTAGTGGATGTTGGATATAGACGTGACTTGGAAGACACATTGCCCAGCTTGGTAGGTAAGTAGACCTTGGACCTGCGATATCGGCCTCTCCGGTGGAAGTCTTGGGCTTACTGCGGGTTTGTAGTCTTTGTCATACATGTGAAGGTTCAAGTGGCATTGCTTCAGGTCTCATTTCGAGAACAACAGCATTCTTCGGTCCTGGAAAAAGTCAATAACCATGGAAAATCTCGGATCATTCTTGTTCATATGAAGAGTCGGCATTTGCGCCACAAGAAACACCGCGCGGCATTTGACTCCACGGCTTAAGTTTTCACGCCGAGGAAGAAGGGCAGTCAATGGATGTATCCGACTGCAAGAGCGATCTCGGTGTACTCCGTAGGCATTGTGTTGATCCCAAGGTTATCAGAGTGGCGTTGTCTCATGCATCTGGCGAGCTCGCAGTTCAGCGGTCAGGTTGGATGTGATTGAATATCCTTTGACCGTTCTTGATATGAGACAAAGAGTGGTCAAGTTCTTTCGTGTAGGCTCTTCCAACCGCACAATATCGTCAGGAAGCTTTCAAGCCGCCTTGTTTTTTCCGTTGTTCTTAATGTGATTATTGCTTTTGTTGCTTATGTGCGTCATATTGCCACAAGAACAACCATAGTTTCAGACTGAAGCAGATTGGCTGAAACTCAATCTGGTCGTAGATCAGTTGTGCCCACGTTTAGCTTGATCGAGTGATGGACAATGAGGTTGGAAGCCTGCTATCTAGTCCTCTTGAGTGTAGGTTATGGTTAATGCTGTTGCTAGGGGGAAGTTGTTGTAGCTTCTGTCCCAGTTCTCAGTATTTGCCGCAAATTCTGCTGGTATACAAGAACTGACATCGTACAGCTGTGGGTGTAGAGTTGATTGACAACCGATGTGTCATGATTGCTAAGATCGAAGTTCCTTCCTTATGTTCAATTGCTCGCTCTATACGGAATGAGCACGTGGCAGTCAAATCAAACTATGTAGATGGACAGAAATTGAGACGGTCGATTCTCGAAGTGTCATTGCAATCGTCTTTACTACCCAATATATGTAGTTAGACAGCTGCAATAGTTTAGGGCGGTATTCTTGTCTTCGAAGGGTGTGGTGCAGATGTATCAGTAACATATAGAGCTCTGGGTACGCGCACTTAGACCTCTTTACGTTACTAGGATACTATTAGTAGTGGGCATATATAGTACTACACTAGTACTAGTACTCCTGTGTGAATAACCCTTATCTGGCTCTAAGTGTCTAGGCTGATATAATGATATATATCTATAGTATCTATTCGAGCGAGCAACCGAATGAGTATTTGCTCTGCCAGCTATAAATTGGTGAATAACAATTTAGAGGTCAGTGTTTCAGCCTAGTAGTAAGCTGTACTTAGTACCTGTCTACTAAGTTAGTAAGTACTAGTATCTAGGTATCAGTTCCGAACATCAGCCTGGGCAGTGAAATCACAGCTAACGCTGGTAGTAGTACTACTTCATACTTCAATGAACTTTTCCAAGTGAGAGGTTGGGGATATATAATGAAACAATGCGGGTATCAGTTGAGCTAACATTTCGTCGCAGAGTATCGAACCCCGACAAACAGTGAAGATACATGGTGTCGAGTACAATTGCCCTGTTCTAAAAGAAAGCAGTTCAATTGGACTACTAATAACTTCAAAGCTATAAGAAAAGCCAAATTCTACTTAAGCACTCCTGGCACCAATTCTTGTGGGGCTAAGACATGACAATGGCCCGGTCCAGCCGAAGAGCGAAGACAGGCTAATCGACCGGCCGCTGCCTTCCGGTCGGGAAGAGAGAGCAAGAAAGTTAGTAGAGCAGCACTGCCCACTTGCCCAGGACAGGACAGCTGAGCTGAGAGCCTGAGAAGGGCCATTCCGTCACTGTCCAATTGCACTCGGCGGGAAAAGCAAAGTCGCGCCCGTCGACTCAGTCAGACGGAACAAACTGACCCCCCGAAACAATCCCGTACCCTCCCCCCCCCGCTAACGATGGTTTGGTACCACCGCCGCCAGTGACGTTGGCCGTAGCACTATCTCATCGGACTCGAAACATTCTTTTTTCCCTCAAGTCCGGAAAGAGCTCGACGTGCGGCTTAGGACTCCGTGCGTCTTCTAGGAATTACCTAGCCTTTATGGTGGATCTTGACTGGGACTCTCGCTCCTTCAAACCCTCGCCGACACACAATTGCTGATCCTTTGGAGTGCGCTATCCTTGCTTCCCCTCCTACTCCTCCTCCTCCTCCTCTCCTCCCACTTTGGCGGGTTCATGTCAGAACAACTGTGCGTGGATTGATTCCGTCCGCTAAAGCTCCCCAACCATCACAACTACCAATGCAGACCGTCTCCATTATTACGCCAAGTGCAGGTTCATGGTGTCTGATGGTCGCTTGCCGTCAGATAGGTAGCCGGGGATAAGACTCAGCGGCGCGATGAACCAGCCCACCTCCCTTCGCTCGCCGTCCCCTTCATCGTCGATCGATCAACCCGCCGTTGAACTGACTCCCGTCGTTGAGAAGCTCAAGGTCATCTGCGGTGAACATGACATCGACCCCTCACTAGCTGCGACAGCAACCGAATGCCTACTCCGGCTTCGTCATACCTTTATCGACAGTGACCATCCTCGCGAAGCGAAAGAGGACTTTCGACATCTACATGGCTTTCAGACGCTGCTGGATCTGCTTCAGAAAGTCGCAGAATGCTATACCCCGGATCGGTTAGCGAAGGAAGAAAGAAAATATCTCCTGGCCCTTTTTAAGGATACATTGGCGGTTCTGGCAGAGGCGTTAAAGGATCATTATGGGAATAAGAGATACTTTGCGGCTCGGGTACCTGGAGGAGGGAGTGCGGCTCTAGAGGAAGCTCTTGCATTCCTGGCCCAAAAGGTGGACTCCGTGCAGGGAGACATAGAACAATTCTATGGTGGGATTCTGGCAGCGATCCTTTGCCAGGAAACCGTTGCCAGTATATTCACAACGTTGGACTCCAGATTTCGATCGGCTCCAGTGCTACTTCCCAGTGACCTCAAGGCGGAGGTTGATCGATGCGTAGGAACGTCAGAGACCATCGAGGTATCGGATATCTTGGGGCCTTTCATTCGAGTATGGTTGTCCCGGACTTCATCTTCGTCGTCAGAACACCGTCTCCTTCGGTTAGCTGTACCGGCATGTCTCTGTCAACTTGCCCTGCATTCCCAGAGAAACATCACCATAATGCATGCTACAGGTGTGTTATCGTGGATCCTTCCACTTCTGGTCAGCGATGAGCGTCTGGAACAGGAAAAGCTATTATACCGGGAGCTCGCGCGGCTGCTTTGTACCCAGGGGATAAGCAATCTGGAGGACGCAGTTTTCCTCTACCAAAAAGCCCACAGTTGCCCAAAGGTCTCGCGCTTGCTGGTAGATGTTCTGAAGGCCTCTAAAGAACCTGCATCCATACAATTCGATCTCTCTCTGCATGGGTACTGTTCCCTGGAGTTTTCTACTCTGGGGCGCTCGTTCCCCCCCGCAACTTCCTCTGGGTACACACTTTCAGTATGGGCGCGCTTCGACCAATTTGATTCAAACACACATACAACAATATTTGGGGCTTTTGACCCTAGCCAGACATGTTTCCTACTTGCATATCTTGAGAAAGATACCCGGAACTTCATATTGCAGACCTCGATACGGGGGTCGCGCCCCAGTGTCCGATTTAAATCCATCGTTTTCGAACCTGGTCGATGGTATCATATCTGTGTTGTCCACAAGAAGCCCAGACCGCCGTCGTATTCCCGCGCCTCTTTGTTCATAGATGGCGAGTTTGTCGAGCAGCTGAAGATAGAATATCCGTGTATGCCTGCTGCAATTGCTCCCAACCGATCTGCTAGGGTCCAAGCATTTTTTGGCACCCCTCAGGACCTGGCTATGAGGCTGGGGAAGGATGTGTCCACGTCTCGATGGTCATTAGCCAGTGCAATCCTTTTCGAGGAAGCTTATAGCGATGACATGGTTGCCGTCTTCTACAACCTCGGGCCCCGCTATCATGGCAACTTTCAAGACTGCCTTGGCTCTTTCCAGACATACAAGGCTTCCGCGGCTCTGAACTTGCGCAATGAACATTTACACCCCGGTAAAGAAGAGCAGTCGGATATCGTTGTTGCTATCCGGCGGAAAGCAAGTAACCTTATCCGCGAGGCTTCCATATTGTTGAACGTTTCGCCTCTTGCAGTGCTAGACGACGACGACAGTAATACCGTGGATGAGTCCCGGCTGATCAAGTGCTTATCAAAGCAAGCCGCTAAGAATCTACATCAACTAACCAAGTCCGGAGGGAATGCGATAGTAGTTAATGGAGCTACACCTGCTATCAATGACGCACTGACTCAGGCACACGGCATTGGGGTCTTGACAGGTGACCCAGTAGTTGCGGTGCCACGCTCTCTGGATGATGCAGGTTGGCGTATTGGGGGGTGTGCGGCTGTGCATCTGAGCTTGCTCCATGCAGCGGACACTGGGGAGTCGACCTTGCTAGCGGTCGAGGCACTGTACGAGGCAGTGCAAGACAACTGGAGGAATAGCGAGGCAATGGAAAAGGATAATGGATACGGAATCCTTGCGGTTTTGTTGCGCGAAAAGCTTGGTTTGCCGTCGGGAGCTGCTCCCACAACGTCGAAGACGCCGAGCGTTTGTGCCAGCTACGAGGAACGGTCTGCATTAGCTCTGGCACTTCTCCGCTTGACGTTGAAATTTGTTGGGTACGACTTCGAACAGCCTAACCGGTCCATTATTACAAATCCGTTGGCGTACAGGGTCCTACTCGTCGACCTAGAAGTATGGAGAGCTGGTGAGGCAGCTCTCCTCGAGTTGTATTACTCTCAGTTTTGTATATTTGCCAGTGAAAGTAAATTTCGCCGGTTCAATGCAAAGCGACTTGCTCGCATGCGTGAGTCTTCCGGAACAATCTCCTTACGACCCGGTTATGCTGATAATCAATAGGCGTCAACAAGAAGTTACTCGAGGCCCTCAAGGTAGAGGAGTGTACCCCCGAAGCCTTGCGTCTATACACTGCCGCTTTTGGATCCCTCATGGAGAGCAGCTTGTCGGCGGATTTGCTTCGATCATTATCTCTCTTTATCACCTACGCTCTCCATAAGCCAAAGGAGTCAAGTAAGCTACAGAAGAAGAAGAGCATGAGATTCAACGCAGGCATGCGGCAGCGAGCGACTTCTGACTCGAAAGCTAAGTACGTGTCGAGCACTGTGATTGCCACGGAAATGCTTCGGATGTATTGTTCGTTACTCTGCAATGCACATGATCTTGGCCCCATAAAGAAGTTTGCCAAGGCTGTGACTAATAAGGTCGGGTCTAATTCTCCCCTCACTAATAGGAAATGATTACTGACTTCACTATAGTGGCTTCTATATCTATTGTGTGAAGACGAACCGGAGATTGTAATTCTGGCGACAAAAATCATAGCTCGTTTGTTGGTCACTCATGGCGGCAACTATGACAAGAAGTTCACGGAGAAAACAGGGGGTTATATTATCATGCGGCATTGCCTGCGAAGATGGTGGAAAATACCGGCCGTATGGTCCAGCTGCTTTGCCATATTGTTTGGCCTAGACGTCGGTAAAATGATCGTTGACAGGCCCTTCAGTCAAAATGGACTTTCGGATGCCTTCCTATCCGGCGGTCACTTGCATATAACATTCCCTGAAATTTTCCCAGTCATCGCTGAGATGATGCAGAGTGCCCTGAAGAAGACAGTCTTGACTAACGATAGCTCGCGGTCCGACGCACAGGGCCTTGCGCATCTGGTTTCTAGTGGTCAATCGACCAAGCAAACCATGTTCTCTCACACGGCCGCAGCAACGGTGGCCGAAGAGCAATTGCTTTTCAATACAGTCACTGACTTCTTTGCTACCCTGCATGTGAAGTCTCAAAGTTTTCGCGAATTCACCACGCAGCCAGAGTACATTCAGCATCTGTTCTACGTGCTGTTTCCGGTGGTAGTTGGCTGCGACGCAACGAGCACGGATGCTGAATTAAACCCTCGTGCGGCTAGTCTTGATTTTGGAGATCAGAATCTGGTTCTCCGCCCGCGCTCGAGAGGAGCCGCTTCTCTGCGAACAACCACCGTGGAGCAACCTGGAGCGCGCGATGATGCTGCTGGGGCACTTGGCCGCGGTTCCTCTTTTGTGCTTGTCTCATCTGATCGGGGAACCTCTCTACCATCATCCGCGCGCATTATTCACGCGTATCATCCGAGAAAGATCGAGGATGTGGGGAATCCCGAACACCCCTTCGTCATCAGCATACTCAGTTTGGCTCTTTCCGTCTTCTCGGAGCAGTTATTGGAGCGGAAGGACTTTTCTGGTCTTGGTCTCTACCTGAAAACGCCACCGGGACTGCTCGAACACCGGGCACACTTCAACTCGTGGGTGTTGAAAAATTTCCTTTTGACTGTGCAAGAGGTCATCTTTTCCAAAGTCCAGCTACTTGCAGAACCACGCGTGCTCACCAATTTGGGACGATTCATGACACACCTTGGGGAGGCTGTGTTCGAAGGTTGGTTTGTTGACGGGGCGGCTGCAACTCTTGAATTCGCAGGGGCAATCCTCGAGTATCTGCAACGGCCCGATGTCTCTTGTCTCAAGAGTATAAGGCTCTGCAGTCAAGCTGTGTCCACAATTCGGTCGACTGTTTTCCGCGTCGTCTTGCTTCGGCTATCGGAAGTCGAAGGCACGGAAGCTCTTTCGTTTCTGAGCCGCCTGTCCTACTGGCAGGTGATTCTCCTTTCTGGTGACGCTCAATCAAATCACCTGCAGCTGCTATGTTACCTCTTGTACATCAAGCTAGACGACGGAGACGAGAATGTGCGCCTGGCTGCAGCAGGGCTCTTCCGAATTCTGCTAGTACAGAAACCTGCCGACATGGCTACCATACTTAGTCAAGCGTCAATAACCCTACAAAAGCGGTTGTCTGCTGGATTTGAAGCTCTAATGGGTATGGATGATGCGGCTTTCTTACGGTGGTTTAACGATCGTGAAGAGGACCTACACTCTTTATTCTTTGGTGTCATATCCAAGCATTGGGAAGACTTCGTTCACGAAGAGAATTCCAAGATCGAGACTTCGTCGCGTAACCGAATTTCTAAACGCCAGGAGAAGCTGAAGCAATGGAAGCACATAGATAGCTTCGGTGACGAAGTGACACGCAAGCACCTCGTAACGTTCCCCCACTGGGCATCGAACATATCAGGATCGGAGTTTCTGAAGTTCCAAAGGGCGCTCCAGGACCACCAAGATGATGCAGTCTTCATGTGGACGACCTTTTCAAAGCTTACATTGGATCTACGACGGTTCGGCGGTCTCCTGGCCGAGGATAAGGAGCGAAAGTGGCGCTTGGATCAAACAGAAGGACGGAGCCGTATGCGCCTTCGCATAGTACCCGATGAGACGGATGAGAGGCAAAATTACCAGCCGAAACGGAAGGCATCCGAGCCTCCCGTGATCAAAATTGACACCGACGTTCGACCTTCATCCAGTGCTGGTACTCTTGGGTTGACCCCTACGGTCGCGAATAATGAGGCTGGAGAGGGTGCTTCGCAAGGCATTTCGCCAGATAGCCGGAGTATGCTCGAGGATAGCTTCGAAATGATTGAAGACCCGAAGGCTGATCTTGAAGACTACGAGGACAAGAACCGCAAAGTCATGCGGAGTCTCCATCGTGGCGATCAGGTTGAGGGTGTGTGCAACATGTCTCGTATCATTGGGTTGGAGGCATTCGAGGGGCTTCTGATTCAAGGAAAGGATCATATCTACATTCTGGATAACTTCTTCCAGAGATCTGATGGCGAGATCGTAAACGTATGGCAAGCTCCGTCAGACGAACGCGACCCTTACGTTCGCATGATTGCCGGCCGAGAATCTAGTGAGCGCAAAGCACAGGAGCATGAAACAAGAAGTTGGAAATGGTCTGATCTGATCAGTATCTCCAAAAGGCGCTTCCTTTTCCGTGATGTGGCGTTGGAGATCTTCTTCACCGATGGGAGTAGCTATTTGCTAACACTCATCTCGTCGCGAGCCCGAGATATTCTATGCAGTCAGCTCGCGACGAAAGCTCCCCAAGTGACCGGCAGTGTTGGCCACGCGCGTCCGGAGGATGTTTGGAGGTTTGAAACCCTTCGCAGTCAAGACGACGCACCGCAATCTCTCGGGTCAAAATTTGCCAGCGTTTTCGGCCACTCTCCGCTCTATCCAGCTACGCGCAAATGGGTCAAGGGTGAAATCTCCAACTTCCACTACCTTATGCTGATCAACACACTTGCTGGGAGGACGTTCAACGACCTGACTCAGTATCCCGTGTTCCCATGGGTGCTTGCCGACTATACAAGTGACGAACTGGATCTGAACGATCCTAAAACGTTCCGTGACTTGTCCAAGCCCATGGGCTGCCAAACGCCAGAGCGAGAGGCGGAGTTTAGAGAACGGTATAAGGCTTTCGCCGAGATGGGTGATGACGACGCTCCTCCCTTCCACTACGGGACGCACTATTCTTCTGCGATGATCGTGAGCTCATACCTGATCCGACTGCAGCCTTTTGTCAAATCCTACCTTCTCCTTCAGGGAGGTACGTTTGATCATGCCGACCGCCTCTTCTACTCGGTTGGAAAGGCGTGGGAATCTGCGTCACGCGGCAATATGTCGGACGTACGGGAGTTGATACCCGAGTTCTTTTACCTCCCTGAGTTTTTGGTGAATTCGAATAAGTACGATTTCGGGCTCTTGCAGAACATGACGACTGTGATTGACTCGGTGGAATTACCGCCCTGGGCCAAAGGCGATCCCATGATCTTCATTGCTAAACACCGGGAGGCGCTCGAGAGTCCGTACGTGACCCAGAACTTGCACCATTGGATCGATTTGGTATTTGGAAGCAAGCAAAAGGGAGAGGCCGCGGTCGAGGCAGTAAATGTCTTTCACCATCTGTCCTACCAAGGTGCCAAGGACATCGACTCTATTGATGACCCCGTGGAACGCCTTGCCACGATCGGTATCATTCACAACTTCGGGCAGACACCGCATCAAATTTTCAATCGGCCTCACTTGCAACGCGAAGACCCCGGACATCGAACGCCCCGACTGGATCGGCTTGCCGAATCGCTGACACAACAGCCCCTTGCGATTCTTGGTGAGAATCTAACCATGATATGAATAATTCCATGTTGACTAATGTGGGAATAGATATCGGCGAACGAGTGGCCACCTTATCGATGAAACAAGACCGTCTGCTGTGTGCCGCTGCCTTGCGACTCAACATCCCCCCTAGCTACGACAAGTATATGGAGTGGGGATTCTTTGACGGCAGTGTTAGATTCTACTCTGCGGATAGCCGACGGGTACGAAAGTCTAGTCATTGGATTTTGGAATGTCCTGTCAGAAGTACAGCAGCTAACAAGACTCTAGCTACTGGGTCACTTTGAGCATCTTCATATCGGCCAACTGTCCTGTGCGATCTTCGCAGATTCTCGAACGTTGGTAACCGCCGGCGCCGACTGTACGGTGTCGATCTGGACCTTCACCTCATCCATCAAGTCGGTTGATCTACAGCCCACGGGGTCACTATTTGGACACCGCTCCCCGGTGACTACGCTTGCGGTGTCACGGTCATTCAGTACGCTTCTGTCGGCATCCACGGACGGGCAGATTATGCTTTGGGATCTCAATCGGCAGTGTTTTGTACGGGAACTGCCAGGCAGCGGGCCTGTCGATGTAAGCATGCTGTTTTCCCATATCGTACTATCACGTCATGTATACTAATGCAGGTACAGTGTGCTCGGATCAACGATGTGACGGGAGAGATCATGATTTGTCGACGCGACCGAGTCAGCCTCTACACGCTCAACGGGTCACTGCTCCTGGAACAGATCCTGTGCGATTCAGTGGACGACTCGATTATGACATGTGTCTTCTACGAAGGGGTGAACAATGAGTGGCAGGAGCGCGAGCTGCTGTTCACTGGACACCGAAGAGGCGTCGTCAACGTAAGAGCCCTATTGTACTGCCACGGACCTGAGGTGCTGATGCTAATAAAATACAGATTTGGAGCAAGATCATCCATCACGGACGATTCGAGTTGGAGTTGATCCGGCAACTGCACCATGTGGACAGTCACCGCGACAATGGAGCCAATATCTCGGCGGGAATTAGTTGCATTATGGCCCAGCCACACGTGGTGTATACTGGCGATGAACTGGGACGAGTGGTAAGTGTGGCTAACATTTTGGGGTAAAGGGTTAGATCGCGTATGCTGACGGGTTATCTAGTACGAATGGAGCTGTGTCCAGCGCCGGTGAGGAGGGCCATTGTTGTCAACTACTTTACTGTGATCTGTCTACCACCGGGGAAAAAGTGGACTCCGCGGAGGGCCTCGGATCGAGTCCACGGAGAAGGAGGTCATCGTGGGATGGACCTCGTCTCTTTCCCAGGTCGGTGCCCCACCAAACCTCCGGGCATGTTTGATGCTCTTGTGTCTACCGATATTGTATGCGCCGAGTATTCCAATCCCGTAAACATATCTCTCTTGTCAATATGCTGCCTGTCTCATACTGAAGACGGAAAGAACGCGCTGGAGAGGTGCGAGCGACTCCAATTGTAATTGTTGTCGTAGCAAATGGGCCGCGGAGCTAGAATAGTTGACCGTGGGGGAGAACCGAGCTACTGTTTTAGAACCGTTACCTACTTTAGTCAAATGCCTCCGGAGGGTGGTGGGATGAAAGAAGAGGCCAAGCCATAAGGAGAAGATGGCATTCGAAACGCGACCCTATTTCCGTAACTTAGTATTGAACACGGTTCGCTGACAAGGCCGATGATGCTGGCTGGGAGGAGGGGGATCTCCACCGGAAGGACTGCTGTGCTCCAGAGGGAATAAAGGGAACACCACGGAAGGAGGGGTGTGTGTGGACAAGCTCCGGTGAGGGAAAAGGAGTGGGAAAAGAGGAGCAGTGTGGACCGGGGATTGCTGGTCGGTTGCCGGAGCACTCTGCGCCGACCAGCCCGTGGTGTATGTATGTATGTATGTATGTATGAGAAGAGAAGCTGATGGAAAGAGAAAGAGGTAGTAAGGAAAGGGGATAAAATGGATTATTGGTTGATCAATCAGAATGAGAGGATGTATATTGCGAATGGAAAGGGAAGAAAATTGAATTGATGTGAATGGAAGAGATGGGAGGGAAAGGAAAGGATGTACCGTACCATAGATAGATATTGCTGGGTAATGCTATGATAATACTCGGTAATTATTGTTGAGGCGAAAAAGAAAACAGAAGGGAGGGAGGGAAGGGAAGGGAAGGAAAGGAAAGGCATAGCGTCATCGGCCCTTCTTGCCCAGCTTTGCCCCACCATAACATTTTGGTAAGGAAAGAGCAACCCCTCCTCACTCTGACGGGCCTCTCGTTGCTGCTGCTGCTCTCTGCTCTGCTTGGTTGCTCCGGCTTCGTCGCCACGTTCTCGTTCCCCTTCTTATTTCACTCTCCGTTTCTTCCGCTTCTTACCTTCTTCTTCCTCTTCTCTTCCTTCCTTCTTCATACTATCTGTCCAATCTCTATATACCCCTCTCCCCCCCATCTCATCTTACTTTGATCACCTTTCATCCTTTTATCCTCCAAACCTCCACCATGTCTTCTTCTCTCGAGCAGCTCAAGGCCACCGGCACTGTAAGTCATTCATTGCTTTGCCGACATCGCCGTGTCATCTTCACAACATCGCTAATCATCTATCTTCTCATCAATTCAGGTCGTCGTCTGCGACTCCGGTGACTTCGCCACCATTGGCAAGTACAAGCCTCAGGATGCCACCACCAACCCCTCCCTGATCCTCGCCGCCTCCAAGAAGCCCGAGTACGCCAGCCTCATCGATGCCGCCGTCGCCAAGGGTAAGGCTGAGGGCAAGACTCTCGACGAGCAGGTCGATGCCACCCTCGACCGTCTGCTGGTCGAGTTCGGCAAGAAGATCCTCGAGATCATCCCCGGCAAGGTCTCCACTGAGGTCGATGCCCGCTTCTCTTTCGACACCCAGGCCTCTATTGACAAGGCCCTCCACATCATCAAGGTATGTCATCAATGTATTACTTGTAAAGGCGAGTTGCTAACGAATTACTACAGCTCTACGAGGAGAACGGCATCTCCCGCGACCGCATCCTCATCAAGATCGCCTCCACCTGGGAGGGTATCAAGGCCGCTCAGGTCCTCCAGTCCCAGCACGGCATCAACTGCAACCTGACCCTCATGTTCTCCACCGTCCAGGCCATCGCTGCCGCTGAGGCCGGTGCCTACCTCATCTCTCCCTTCGTCGGCCGTATCCTCGACTGGTACAAGGCCGCTCACAAGCGTGACTACACCGCCGAGGAGGACCCCGGTGTCAAGTCCGTCCAGAGCATCTTCAACTACTACAAGAAGCACGGCTACAAGACCATTGTCATGGGTGCCTCTTTCCGTAACACCGGTGAGATCACCGAGCTGGCTGGCTGTGACTACCTGACCATCTCCGTAAGTTTTCCATGTTTCTCTATATCTGGTACATAAATTAACATGATCTAGCCCAACCTCCTCGAGGACCTCTTCAACTCCACCGCTGCCGTCCCCAAGAAGCTCGACGCCGCCAACGCCGCCGGCCTCGACATCCCCAAGAAGACCTACATCAACGACGAGGCTCTCTTCCGCTTCGACTTCAACGAGGAGGCCATGGCCGTCGAGAAGCTGCGTGAGGGTATCTCCAAGTTCGCCGCTGACGCCGTCACCCTCAAGGACATCCTGAAGCAGAAGATCCAGGCATAGATTGGGAGACTGATCTGATGTGTGCATTTTTGTGATGACCTTTTTTCTTTTACTATTATTCCCATGTGTAAAATTGATGACCTGAAAAATTCGTTTGGGTAGATACGAATTATGATTATCATATGCCATTTACCAATTGCCATTGTAATATAAGTAATACTATAATCTAATGTAAACGGCAGCAATAGAGTACGAAGTTTCAAGACACTTTAAGCCGCACCACCATCAACATCATTCAATCGAAACCATGACTTCAGATTTCGGTAGTATCACATGATCGGCGCCTGCCTCCTTCACCTGATGCCATCGACTGACTTACTGCCGTTCTTCATAAGAGACCCATAACTGCACCAGAGGGAGAGAAGAGGCATAGTGCCAGTAAAGTGATTAGTATGTAGCGACGATGACTGATCGTTTTCTAGGTACTAGCTCAAGAGCGCCTTTTTACTCTTCGATATATATTATAAGGGGCCCAAGGCCAGTCCTTCTTTGGGCCACAAGAAGCCCAGTCATCCCTATCTTCATCCTCTTAATAAAATGAGATATCGGAGGATGTCGATGGTAAGTAAGTTAAGTAAATCTCCGGAACACCGTTGTGTATATTTCGTGAAAGGATTCGGTGTCGAAGAACAGGCCAGAGAGAGATATATAGTAAGAATGTGAAGCACCAGACGCGAAATCGTCATTGTCTTTATCTGCCCCTCTGTTCAATGGAAAAAGGTAGAAGAGGTAGAGAAATATGAAAAATTCCCAGAGGGGAGCATAGTAATCATCTTCGTCTTCCTTGTAGATCATGGGAAGAGGAAGGAACGATTGTCGAAGATGATGTTATTATTAGGGATGCCATCGTCACCCTCTTTCTTGTTCTTTGTCCTTGTTCTTGGAAGAAGAGAGACCAGGAATATGGATGATGAAATAGCACCTGATGCCGGTGGGGTTATCATCTTTTGTCTTCATCTTCGATATAGGTACCAGAGGAAGCGCCAGAGATTAATAATTAGAGGGCCCAGGCACCATCGATAAGACACTTTCTTCTTCTTCTTCATCAGGGATAAAAAGACCAGTAACTGCCGTTCTTATAATTGGACGAAGGCCGGAGATATCGATATTAAAAGCCCAGACGCCATCGTGATCGTTATCACCTTCGTCGTCACTATAGAAAAGGAAGACGAGGGATATAGAAGACAGGACCCCCACACAGCTTCAAACGGGTCACTGCCGTTCTTATCATCGAGCAAAGGCTGGAGAGATAATGATTCGAACCCCAGGTATCTTCGTAGCAACTGTCTTCTTCATTCTTATTGTCGAAGAGAAGACCGGAGATATCAAGGCTATGTCGCAGGTACTACCATATGGTAGTACCCGTCATCTTCGTCATTAGAAAAAATAAGGCTGAGAGATATAGATGTGAAACACCAGGCGTCGACAGATATAACTTCCTCCTCTTCTTCATTCTCCCTTATGGAGGAGAGCCAGAAATATCAAAAATAAATCCCCACACACCCATCAGAGGAGTCATTTCCGTTCTCATCATGGATCAAAGGACCAAGATATGCAAGAGAAGACCCCCGATATCTTCGTATAGATCGTCTTCTTCATCCCCATCTTTGAGGATGTCATAGAGATGTTAAAATTTATAAGACCCTAGACGCCATCGAAGAAGTCACCTTCATCATCGCCATTGTAAAAATAAGGCAGGGAGATATTGAGAATGAAACACCAGGCGCCGGCATAGATGTCTTCCTCCTATTCTTCTCCTTCATTTTCCGTGATGAAGGAAGGTCGGAGACATCAGAGTGTGAACCGTCCAAGTTGATTTAGGACGAAGGTCAAATAGATGAGAATGTACACTCCTTCGCCAAGTCCCCTTTCTTTTCCCGCAAGTGACCCGCTACGCTGGTAGTCACTGCTATCGGTTATTATATCGCGGTTCCGAAACCTTTATCGGGATTTATCCTCTTCTATATCCTCATTTACGAGAGGGAGAGACAAGAGAGATAATATCTGTAAGTTCCCGATGCCATTGTAGATATCATCTTCGATTCCACCATAGAAAAGCGAAGAGAAAGATATAAGGGTTCAAGGGTCCCCGAGGCACCATGGCGGTCATCATCATCTTCTTCATCGGAGTGGTTTCCAGAAATATCAGAAAACAAACCCAGACGTCGTTGTGTTTAAGGGCCTCTTTCATTGGTACCGAAAAGGAAAGGCAAGAGAGGTTAATGATAGGAATTCAACCCTCCAAACGTCGTAGTTGTTTCCACGATTGAAGGAAGACCAGCAGATATGAAGAATAAAACTCCGGACGCTATGGTGGTCATTTTCTTCATCATTTTCGATGGGAAGGACCAGAGAGATAAAGATAAAATCCCAGATGTCATTGTAGATATCATCTTCGCTTTCAGTATAGAAGAAAGAAGGCAAAGATATAAAGTTAAAACCCGAGGCACAATGGTCGTCGTCATCTTCTCCATCCCCACCACAAAGCGAAATGTCAGAGAGATGATTATACATGACCGCATCCGCCGGCCAACAAGGTAAGCCACCTAGTCTGCTAATGAGCAAGTAGCTCCATGTGACCTCTTTCTTTCCTTTTCGTTGCTTTCATCGAGCAATATTAAACGAAAGATGGCCATTCTCTGGACCTAGCTAGTCCTATAAGGAATATCACAGGCCAGCATAACTTTGACCATCAGCAGATATGTGAGACATGGCTGATGGATGGATAGTTGAGCCCGATAGTAAAGGGGAACGCCCCATTCGCGATCCAATCATATAAGTATATTGTCGATTGGGTTCTCGCGTGGTGTAAGTAGTAGTAATAAGCGAGTATATCGTGTCTCTGTCTCTCTTCTTTTTGCTGATAGGAGGGTGGAATAGCAATAGAAGAGAGATTATGAGGCATTGAACATGCGTTGGTC